CCTAGAGTTTCCTATAATTTTGAGACCATGACACCCCAAATTCTTAACCATTTCGGCTACTGGCTAAACATTATCCTCAGATGATCATTCAGAATGTATTTTCTGCAAAATGAGTTTTATTAAACTACATTTGAGAAATAAGTGAATGTAGAAGTTTTAACTCCCATTACAACAATTTGTGTAAGGTTTATTTGTTGGCGCCTGAGGCATTCTTTCTAACTATAAAGAAATCGGCTTTTGAAAATACAATAGTCTCAAGAAACTTAAAGAAATATATATTATGTTTATTACTTCAAAAATGCTTTGGACTATGATTAAGAATTAGGAATCTCTCTCCAACCCTATATTCACCTCAGGTTAGAAAACAAATCATGGCAGTACTTTTTTTTAATTTTTCATTCATTGTAAAGGGATTTACTTGGGACTCTAAGTGACCTCTCATCCAGGCACTGTTGAGACCTGAATAACTACCTATATAGCATATGGCAAACATACATGCATGAAAAAGAAAACAAATTTTGCTGCAGTGTTGAATATAAATTCCATTTATTTTTCATTTTCTTCCTCCTTTTTATGATTCTGACTGATAATATGAAAGTGGTTCCAGGGATATGTCTGGCTGAAATATACAGATATTCAACTTAGAACCCTGGTTCTATTTGTTCATTTGGAGGCCAGCTTCTAGAGCAGGGGTGTCAAACTGCCGGCCCGCGGGCCGGACATGTCATCCCAAAACCGCACCCACCCCATTGCCGGCAATGGAGAAAAAGCTCCGATATGTCGCGCAACGTCATGTGACATCGCGAGTTTGACATGCCTGTTCTAGAGCTTCAGTTATGATTAGCTACAGGCTGTGCATTAGATTATATGTAACATAAATAAAAATAAAAATAAAAATTGATGTTTCTTAACAATAACATACCATAAATTAAAACGCAAATTGACATTTCTTACTCAATTATTCTATACTACAAGTAGTCCTTGACTTATGACCACAATTAAGCCCAAAATTTCCATTGCTAAGCAAGACAGTTGTTAAGTGAGTTGTGCCCCATTTTATGACTTCCCACAGTTGGTAAGTGAATCACTGTAGCTGTTAAGCGAATCATGAAGTTGTAAAGCAAATCTGGCTTCCCCCATTGACTTTGCTTGTTGGAAGCCAGCTGGGAAGGTTACAAATGGTAACCACATGACCCCAGGATGCTGCAACTGTCACAGATACATCCCGATTGCCAAGCAACCAAATTTTGATCACATGACCATGAAGGTGCTACAAAGGTCATAAAGTGTGAAAACAGTCATAAGTCACTTTTTTCAGGGCTGTTATAATTTTGAACTGCCACTAAACAAATGGCTGTAAGTCGAGGACTACCTGTATTTGAGATTCCAAAACAAAGATCACCCTTTCAATGATGTATTATCTATTTGCATTTAAAGAATGAGCAGAATATTATCATAATCACTCCAGCAGGCTGATGGGAAAGGAACTAATGAGGACTTTAAAAGGTTGATAGTATGCTAAGCAGAACAAGTCATACTACTTTTTCTTAAGAGGAAGATTAGATTTTTCTCAGACTTGTTCATGCATCTCTCATATATCCCTGCATCTCCATTTTCTAGGTACAATAATTATGGAAGTTGTTCATCAGTCCTCTTATAGGTATATTTATTTTGTTATTCTTATTATTGTACGTATATCCTGTCTTTCTTCTGAAACAAAAGGCAGCACTAATGGAAACCTTCCCTCATTTTATCTCATCAAAATAGCTCTTTTTAGAATGAAAAAATAATGCTTGGCCAAGTCATCAAAGTAGGATTTGAATTGGGCCTTCTCAGACCCAGTTCAACATTTTAATTATTGTATCACATTGGTTCTCTTAAAAGTACATACCTCCAGTCAAGAGAAATAAGATTCTTCAACAGCATAAGCAACTTTCTACTATTTCTAGAATATAGTCCAACACTTCAGATGTATAGGACAATAAAATATAGTCACAAATAATTTAGTTTGATCTCCCTTTTCAATGGAAAAAAGTGTCTCCGATAGAAGTTACTTATTTGTGTGTCCACCTAATCCAAACATTGTAGAATTATACAAAAATGAAAACCAAAGCCATACATTTTGATATAAATTATACTCTTTATCTGAATCAAAGATAGAAAAGTTTAATTAAAAAGAAGCAAGAGCTCATTTCCATCCTTTCACATTTTCTGCCTGTAGTTCATAGGGCTAGAAAACAAACACATGCAAAATACTGTCACATGCATATGCTATAGAAAGAGACATAGACCAATTCATTATGTCAGACATGATTGCCCCAAAGGAAGCAGTTAAGAAGATACACACATACAGCAATGAACCCAAGGTTCTCTGTGGTCTGCGATTATGTAAGAAGTCACTCTTTATCTATTCATGTTGCTTGGTGTGAGGGCAACTATAACCCCTAAAGTAAAAGCACAATATAAATATAACAGAATTAAGGATATATACAGGGATAACTCAGTTCAGTCTAAAAACAGCCATTCAGTATGCAAATCATAAACCACTAGCCACAGATAGGGATGTTCCTCAGTCATAACTGAAACAGGGAAACTTCCTTAAATGGCACAACTACTTTGCTCAACTATACCCCCAGCCACTGAATCATGTAGCACAGCCGTGCCAGGAAACATAGGTTGTTGTTGTTGTTGTTATGCTTTTAGCAAACCTATACTGAATAAAGCAACTGCAACCGAACAATGTAACAGCTCAGAGAGCACTGTTGGCATAGCAACAGACAGGCCCACCACAGTGTTATTTTTACCCCAGACCTC